GCGGGAGATGACACCAAGCAACAGCCTGAAAATCAGCCTTCGACCAATGAACTTGATGGCGAAAGCGAAACGTAGGATTTTTTATTTTCTAACAACTGTGCTTACGTTAATTTCGCGTGTGTAGTAATGACAGTATGAAAAGATCAAAGTTGGAACGTCGACGGCAATTTGAGGAGGAGCAGTACCGCCAAGAATTGGAAGAATTTTACAAGTTGCAAACGCAGGAATTCGAACGTGACAGTATGAACCTCAGTTTAAATGCTGCTACCGTTGCCCCAACCGCGGCCGTTACTGTTCCCACGTTTCCACCTCCACCGCCTCCTACAGCGATCTGCTTTAACCAGCCTCCGCCGTCCCTGTCGTTTCTTTCGCAACCCCCGCCTCCGGTCATTTCTAACACCGCTCCGACAGTTGACCTCTCCGTCACCCCAGCTCCCACTACTCCGGGTGCACCTGCTGTCATTCCGCCTGTAAGTGCGCGTTTTGCCTTTCATATGATTTTGCATTCCGTTTTTCAGATCGTTTACCCAGCAACCCTGGTCTACGATACGAACACGCATTGCTACTGGTGGCAGGACCGAAATACGGGAATCTTGGTTTATCCAGCAAGGCCTCAGCAGGTTTGTCTTCCCTCAGTATAGTGATTTTCTTTTGAATGGAACACTTCGCTTGTATTTTGCTTTTAATTTAGCAGTCTAATTTCTGTGAAACGGTCTCACATCAGATTTAAACTTATTTGCTTCACAGTCACCGGGAACGCTTGACAGACATCCGTCTCCTAATGAAGCAGACTAATGAGACGAGAAAAAATTGAAATGCAAGACAAATTTTGCATAATTGACTAACTGACGGTCATTACACTCTGAAAATTTCTTCCCACGCATTTTGCTGCAATCATTTGTTGTTATTCAGTCGTTCTCAAAAACATTACAAAGTTTCTTTGTCATTTGCAGACCATGCTACTGGTAACTGTTTCTCAGGTCACTGAGAGTAGAGCCAGTTCTCTGCTCAAGGGAATTAACCTTGTTGAAAAGCAAGCATGGTCTGTAAACATGACTTGAACCCATGATTTTAGTATATGCAATTATTTGTATGTTCTGATTTATTTTACTGCACGTAAGTTCTTGAACGGGTAATATACGCCATTATTCATTTTTACTTATTCGTTTATCTGTCTTGTTTTTAGTGTGCTGAAGTTTCGGCCGGTGATCTCAATTTACTGCCGCACTTCTATCAAGATCCGACGACCGCATTCATCCATGAAGTTAGAGTTTACTACAATCCAAAATGTAGGCGTTGTTGGCTATGCATATCTGCGTTGAACTTTTAAATAACGTTTCTTTTCATCATGGCTCTGTTTAGTGCTCACCAATTGTAGCGGTGCTTTCGTCGGAGGTTTCGAACAGATGTATGCAGATCAAACAGTTCCCCGCGAAGATAAAATGGAAATCTTGCGTGAGGTACGTTGATTTATCCATCTCCTTGCAGTCGGCCGATGTCAGTTGTTAAAATATTACCTTCAATATATTCCTGGTTATTGAGTCGAAAAAGTTTTGGATTCATACTTCAAGGACTGAGGGTTCGAATTTCACTCGTTTTTTATCATGGACAGATGACAAGTATCCCTGTCAATGACTGCAGCATGTTGTTGTAGAATCCTGCCTGTACATTATCGTTCAAACAGCTTTTCTGACTAACAGCATCGAAATGAATTTCAGCGTCTCGCCATGAACTTTACGACAAAGTATATCGTCATTTTGTGAAGGAGATCAACTTCTCCGCGGTTGAAAACTTTCCATTCCTTGATATCCTTCGTTTTCTCACATTGTTCAGTTATGCAGAACGATTAACACCGATTACTGTACACGTGTATTTTGTCTGTAGTAATTGTTGGTGCGTCCATTTTCTCCCATGTCTTAGAAGACACAATCTGAATGGAGTGGAAAACGACAGCCTGTCTCTGCCGGTTCCATTGCAGTGTGCACACTGTCATTTGGACAGTAAGACGTCGTCTGTTCTAACACAGATCTGTTCATTATAATAATCCAACTTCCACCCAAATTGATCCTGAATATTATGCCAAAGAAGAAACAATTTTGGTTACTTGATCAGTTCATCAGCGAAATACGGTATGGCCAATAGAGTGCGTCGTACCCTAGCACAGGGGTGTTCTATTCAACGCCGAAACCTTACAGGATAATAGGACTCAAGAGCGCTGAATAAAATCGACCAGCATGGTGTTTGTCGATTCGCTTTTCATTTTTTCAGTACAGAATAATAGATTAACCAGTTATCAGCTCATTGGTTCTGTCAACCATCCATATTGCGTTATATTTATTGTCACTTAGTCTGTTTTTTAAATTTATTCAGTTAATACCTTTTATGGTTACATTATTGATCTTGTTTATGCGGTAGAGTATAAACAATATGTGCTGCTGAAATATCGTGATGAACAAGCACTTGCTGTAGCGCATTAAATACGGCATTTATCTTGTCCCGCGGATACTCAAATACCATTGAGCCATAGCCTTCCTACTTTTGCAAATGCGGAAAGATAAACATAGGGTTGTTCCAAATAAGAACTTACCGTCGAATAGTGACGTATCTGAAGATGGCTGGTTGTACTTCTCATTCCACTGAAATCGTGCTTCAGAGCGGCTCCGCAAATAACCTAGTGTCATTCATCGAAACCGTATACAACACGGCTGTTAGAATGGAACTAAAGTCAACGCCAAGAAGACGAAGATAATGAGAGCTTTTGCCGTGATCGTCAGCCCCAACGACTGTGTGAAATTGTTTTGCGATAAATGACCTGACCGTTTCGAGTATAATTTAGAACAGTCTCATCCTGGTCAGGGCAATCTTTGATCTTTGATCTTGAAGTAAACCGGGGCTTTATACAGGCATAGATGAATTTTGGAAAACTGCCTGACATGTAGAAAGATTAAAGTTTGTGAAGGAGTACGAGTATCACTATCATCGAAGCAATCGTACTCGCGATGCTCATATACAGGCTAACAACGTCTGCGGTCCTGAATCGTGTAACGAATCTCTTCTCAACAGATTCTAACAACACTGTCTGAAGAGAATGCGATAGTATCATCCCTTTACAAATGAAGAGGGCTGATTAACACTGGTCTGAGAATTCTGTCAGATAAATTTAAGGACAGGCGTCTTGTTTTGTTTGATAAAAAGCGGCCCGAAACAGATTAGAAATGTTTTCAAAACTTTTTTCTTGTGAGAACTTTGCACTGGCCGATAGACGCGTTGGAGCCCAGTATAAAACGTGGCACCACCTCATTCAGGCAGCCCGTTTGCGACGAGAAATATGACTATTGCAGTAGCAGTGAACGTTGCCTAATGCCAATTTGAAATACTATTTCTGATTGTCAGACCGTAATATGAACT